TTTTTAATTATATATAAAAAAAATATTAGTGCTTTCAGCACAGGGCAAAGTCCAACTCTTGCTCTGTAACTATTGCTATCACTGATGTTAGTGTTTTAAAGCGCATGAATATAAACAATTAGAATCAAAACGTTTTTCAAATAATTTTTAACACAAAGAAAGTGATTAAACAAATTGTTCATAAAAGTGAATTTTGATCACTTGAAGCAATGGTGCTAACAGTTTTGAGTTCACAGTGACTGATTTTTTTTGAAATTTGAAAGATGATTCGTTATAAAAACTTTTAATTACTTTCTACTCAATGCAGTCTTATCGATTTCAAATAATTACTGGTTTATTAAAATTATTAGATACATGTTGTTGATGAAGACAGACAGTACACGGAATGGACTGATGATTCTAGTTTGACCTCTAAAGGTTCTCAATACGTTTCGTCTTCCTCTGGACTTATTGCTGTTAAAAGAATAATTCACGATCTCCATTACAATTTAGGAAAAAATGGATACAATCAGGTACATTTTAATTGTCTTATTATATTTTATTTTTCCGTAATGTTATAGTTGTTTTTATTAATAGGTCTTTGTTGATCAAATGGACTCTGATATCGTAGCTGTTACCCGTCACAATCCTTTGACTCATGAAAGTGTTATTTTGGTAGCTTTTACAGCATTCGGACATCCACCTTTAGACGCTGCTAATTATCAAAGGCAAATAAAACCCCTTCGAGTTGAAGGAATTTTAAATGAAATCATACTGGAGGCAACACTAAATCACATTAGCGTCAAGTAAGCAAGCAGTAACTGTTTAATTTTAATTTTACATGAAAGATAAGAACATTTAAGTTTAACTACTGAAATACTTCAATAGCAATAAATAACCACTAGATGGCGACACATTGCCTTTATTTGGATATTACTTAAAAGGTACTTGTTTTAGATCGGGAGGATCCAAATATACTAAGGAGGAAAACTTCGAAAAAGACCCGAAATGCATAAATGGCTTAAGTAATTATTACGTTGACATGCGTAGCCACATAACTTTGCCCCAATCGGAATTTCTCCAAAGTGCAGACAGTGGAAATCCAAATATTATACAGCTGAACTTCAAAAATTTCAAACCTGGAAGCATCGTTGCTATAAAGTAGCTTTTTTTTTTTAAATTACTTTGAAATGTTAAGTAATTTTTGCTATTTTTATTATGTAGGATATCCTTACATGAAGAAGTTGCAGAATCGGTAAAGAAAACGCGCAATTTGTTGAATTTCTTCTCAAAGGCCAAAGACAATGAACTGAAACAGATAATTAGTAAGATGAATCTGAACGATTTGAACAGAGCCCTTTATCATTGTGACCAAGAAGAGAAGGACGAAGGAAATGGCTTTGGCGTATACGATATTCCTGGATTTGGTCCTATGGTTTATTGCGGATTTCAAGGCGGGTGTCTTTTCAGTAATTAATATCAATAATTCTAATTATTCATTAATTTGTTACAGGACTAATATCTTTATTGTCGAAAATAAGACCATTTAACGACTTAGGTCATCCAATGTGTGGTAACCTTAGAGCCGGAAATTGGATGATAGGTAAGTGTTTCAGATTGTATATTATTTAATCACCTTGTAAAAATAAAATATATTTTAGATTATGTGTGGCAAAGACTTAAGTTTGGCGAAGGCACAAACGAATTAGGTGTTTGGATTCAAGAAAATATTAAACCCTTGAAAGACATCCCTCGCTATCTAATACCCTGTTATTTTGATGCCTTTGTAACCGGACTTTACATGCTCCTTCTGGACCAGTCATTCACTTTAATGTCAAAGTATGTTAATTAAAAAACTACGGTTTTGATAATGAAATTGACGAATTATTATTTTTTTTTTTTAGTTTTATTACATATGGATCTACATTCGTAAAAGGTCTTGCATTGGGCTCTGTACAATGCGTATCTTACTGTAAATCAGCCAATTTGCCCCCGTTTTCTCCTAATCTAAGTCCACCCTTGCCCCCAAAAATAAGAACCAATGAAGGGAAGGAAGTTCAAGCCTGTACTACTTTAGCTGCAGGTAAAATAAAATAAACAAGCACCTGGAGAAGTTTCACTGTATTTTATTCATTAGCGTACGTTCATACTCTTGACGTCCTGACGATACCATTACAATGCAAAATATTGTGAAACGTCTACAAAAGTTTGTTTTTGTATTAGTTTTATTCAGTTCCCAATTATTACATAGATAATATAAGCGTTTTAATTTTATATAATAACCTTTTATAACAAATAGCATTTAATCGCTAGGATTACCTCATTTCTCCACTGGTTACATGAGGAGTTGGGGCCGGGACACTTTTATTGCTTTGCGAGGTCTCTTACTTTTAACTGGTCGTCATGAAGAAGCTCGTTTTCATATCTTGGGCTATGCAGCTTGTTTGAGACATGGTCTCATACCGAATTTATTGGACAGTGGAAATCCTAGGTAAATTTTATTTTAATTTTACTCTCAGGTGCCCTATATTCTCACTTTTTTTATACAGATACAACTGTCGAGACGCCGTTTGGTGGTGGTTGCATTGTATCAAGTCTTACGTGGAGGAGGTTTCAAATGGGGTGGAAATTCTTTCAGACACCGTTTCGCGTCTTTTTCCTACAGACAGTTCGGCCCGACAGGAACCAGGAGTCGCAGATCAGCCACTTCATGTCGTGATGCAGGAGGCCCTTAAGGTCCATTTCCAGGGTCTCGTTTTTCGAGAACGGAACGCAGGAAGGCAAATTGACGCGCATATGAGTGACAGAGGATTTAACAACCAAATCGGTGTTCATCCAGAAACAGGTAGGGATTGTTAATTTATTAATAACTTCTTATTTTGCGTAATCGTATTTTTTAAGGTTTTGTATTTGGTGGTAACGAATCGAATTGTGGAACATGGATGGATAAAATGGGGTCGTCAGATAAAGCAGGTAATCGTGGTAAACCAGCGACGCCAAGAGATGGTTCAGCTGTGGAGTTAGTAGGTCTTTCTAAGTCGGTTGTGACGTGGTTGGACAAGCTTTATCACGCTAAGAAGTATCCTTACGATGGCGTAGAGAGAATTCACAAGAATGGTAATGTAACGAAATGGACGTTCAGACAATGGGCTGATAAAATACAGACGAACTTTGAAAAATATTTCTGGGTGAATATGTCGCCTGTTGCGGGAGAAAATCGGCCGGATTTGATTAACAAAAGGGGGATCTATAAAGATTCTCATGGAGCCAGCCAAGAATACGCAGACTTCCAGTTAAGATGCAATTTTCCAATTACCATGGTTGTGGTAAGTTATGCTTAAATATATTTAAAGTGATTAAAACTATTTGCTTGTTTATTATATTTGAAACGAACAACAGATCGTATTTATTTAATTAATAATTTGTGTTTTTACTTAACTTTAAAGGCACCTGAATTATTTGACTCAAAACGTGCTTGGACTGCACTTCAAAAAGTGGAAAAATATTTGCTGGGTCCCCTGGGCTTGAAAACATTAGATCCTGAAGACTGGAGTTACAATGGGATCTACGACAACTCTAACGACTCTGAAGATTACAACACAGCCCATGGCTTTAATTACCATCAAGGGCCTGTAAGTTTCACTTAATTAATTTTTTTCCTTATATTATATGAATAGTATTATTTATTTGTGTCATGTGTAGGAATGGGTTTGGCCCATGGGATTCTATTTAAGAGCTAAATTGCACTTCGCCGCTGAAAATGGCGATCTTAGGCGTACCATTGCGAATACTAAAGTGGTTTTGTCCCGACATTTTACGGAACTGCAGACATCTGTATGGAGAGGACTTTCGGAATTAACGAATGCAAATGGCACATTCTGTCATGGCAGTTGTGCCACCCAAGCGTGGAGTATGGCCTGCATTTTGGAGGTGAGTCTTTGAAAAATACTTTTAAAAATGGTAAAGGTTTTCTTGACGTAATTAAGGAGGGACCGAAGGTACTTATACTAATTTCAACAGTTACCCATTTCATCGTTTTTAAAAACACGTAATTATAGTGTAATTTTTTTTTAAGAAAATGTACATTCATTAACGAACAATTGAAATTTTCTTTTATCATCAGTCTACATTTTATGAAACTTTAACAATATACTATGTATTACTTTTTTTATTGATTGCCTAAAACTATTATGCCTTTTTTATTTAGCTCCGGTTCCTCCTTTATACTACTTTTAACATGAATGCGTCTATAATCATTAGATTTCTTAATTTCATAAAAATTTTAATGATACCATTTTATTTAGATTGGTGTTAATCTGGAATTTGTTGGAAAAGAAAATTAAATCTTAACTAATTGTAAAATCATTATAGACGTAGTCATTTAAAAATTAGCCTAACACAGCTTATCATTCTTTAGTTTTTTCCTTACACTTTTTAAGGTAAATNGCAAAAAATTAATAGGATATTTAGTGGTAAAACTGAAAATATTTCAATACATGGAGTTGAGTTTAAATACTGGTGTTTTGTTAAGAGATCATACCTCTGCAACTCCCAAATCAGATATCTTCAAATTTCCCTCTAATGTTAGAAGCAAATTTCCAGGTTTAATATCTTTGTGTATAATTCCCTTGCTGTGCAAATATTCTAAACCATCTATCAGCTGCAAAAAGTATCCATGTGCTTGGAAAAGAGGGAATTTCTTGGTTGGTGTGCTCTCTAACATACCTTGCAAACTTCCCACACAAAACTCCATTATTAAATACATTTTTTGCTTCTCTTCATTGTAGAAAACATCGACTAGTTTTATTACATTTTTGTGCCTTAGTGTCCTTAGCAATTTAATTTCCCTGCAACATTGAAGTTTGATATAGAACAATGACTAATTATTTATATTTTTTAGACAAAACACAATAATGGCTGGTGTCTTTGCATGGGTAACTTCTTTGGTAAGTTTACAAGATAATTTGTATAGTAAGTTTAATTAAAAAAAAAGCATTAGTAGTATCCTATCTTTGCATTTGCTCAATCACAGTTATACCTTTGTACGTTTTGTTCTCCATTAGGAATTCTTCGTAACTTATGCTTTTTAAGTATTTTAACAGCATGCCTACATAGAGTTTCTGAATCTAACATTTCCTTAACTTTACCATAGGAACCTTCTCCCAACAGGTCTCCCATTACGTACTTTCCTATCATTTTAAGACGCTTTTTCTTTGTTTGGTAAATAATTTGGTCACTATCAACCCTATGGAAAAAGCTATTAATATTGACTGTTTCAAGATCGAGATCTTCATCGTTTAGCCAAATCACAGGATTTTCTTGGTCATTTTGTGCTAAAACCGGCAGTTCATCATCACTTTCAACACTAAAAATTCTATTATTTAGCTCAGCTTCTTCCAGTTCGGTGCTCTCACCAGGTTCGCTGTCAAAATTTTTATTTATGTTGCACATTTTTTTGTCCATAATTGATTTTCCTGCACTTTTTAAGTACTATTAATGTAATTTTATTTATTTTGCGAATCATTTATTTCAATCGGTGTATCACGCTTCCGAAGCATAAAAACTATTATTTATTTCACACACTGTTATTGTTCCTTGCATCGCCCATCTTCGTCCAACAGCTGTTTTTAGTAACTCTCACTTGGTTTCTTAGCTTTGTAATGTTGGCACTGTAAAGCGTAAACACATTCTGTCTGTGGTTCTAGTATAGAAAGAAATATTTGTAAAAACAATTAAATATGCTTTGCATTAATACTTATTTTTTATTCAGACAGTTGTGCATTTATGCTAGAAGTACCATCATTAAGATAATTACATTAATTAATATTTACGAAACAGTAGGGCATTTGATTTATATTTTCCTTCGGCTAAAAGGCTGAATGAAACTTGAAACCAGACTTTTTCTAATGGCGTCTAAGTTTTGGAAATTAGCCGCTTGTTGTTATGGGTTGTTAATGGTTATCAGATTAAAAAATTCAATACATCAACAAAGTGGATAGTGATCAAAAACACATTTTGAAAACCTTGTTAAATTACTGTAAACACTAGTTCAATAAACAAACAAGTATTTTCGAAAAATAGAAAGGCCAAATTTTATCAATGTCACCTTCAAAATTTTATGTTTGGAATATCATTTAAATGCAGAGGTCATTTTAAAACCAAAATAAATACGCGACTACTTAATTAAGTATATAGTTGATAGTGTTGTATACTTGTTTTAAGAAAATGCATCCAAACGTGTAACGCTTCTTTAAAGGTATGACTATAAAAAAATAAAAACAGGTACTCTGTCTGATGTGCTTTTACATATTAGCAATTCAACCAAATAATCTATTTTTTCATTAAACATTTTTGTTTTACAGCCAAGAAATAATTAAGTGTTTTAAGTGTATGTATGTGTTTGATAATAACATGTTTATATTATATATAACCGTTTTATTTATTGCCCTGATGTGAAAGTTATCAATGGGTTAATCTCATTTGTGTTTTTCTGAAAAATTTATACTCTTCCTGTATTTGCTTGTGTTTTAATTATGCCCAAATTAAGTGGAAATTATTATATTCTAATAGAAAATAGTGAAAATTCTACTAATAATTCTGTTGATGATGTTTGTGCAACCAACAAGACAACAGTTCTAGTGTACATTTTAAGCTTATGTAAAAAAGTGCACAATGTTATAGTTTCACCTGTTGTTTCAGTTTCTTTGTGGTGTATTAAAAAGGTCATAATAATATCACAATTCCTGAGACATGTAAGACTTGTTTACCTTTCTATTATGAAAATCCATTTGTAGGGGGTATAATATTTCATGTGTTTATTAAACCATTCCCTTGTATTCTTTACTACTTTCATATAGTCTTCAACATTAATGGATGTTAAGCTTTGAAACAGTTTTAACAGAAAGCATTTATATATTCATATCAATTTTTGTCTTTTTTCAATTTTAGGTGAGTAGAAGTAGAGAAATTCAAGGGGAGAAAAAAGGAAAACCTTCCACTAGTAAAGAATTAGAAGAGGAAGCTGCAGAGAACGTCATACAGAATAAAGAGTCAGTATCAGAAATAGCAGTAGAACCAGGAAAAAGTTATTCCGAAGAAGAAAATGAAAGTTCTAGTGACGAATTTACGCAGTTAGATGTTGAAGATTTGTCCAGACCAGATGATACAACTGATGATATCGAAATCATTTCTCCAGTTGTAGTTGAATTGGCCTCAAACAAAAAAGCGGTTGAGAATATTCTTGCTGAAGAAGCTAAAGATCTTTCTGAGAATTTAGTTCCAAAACAATTAGAGAATAAACTGTCTGATAGTAAAATATTTGTAAATGATGATTTCAAGTATTTTGGAGATAACGAACAAAATAATTTGAAGCCTATGAATTTCCTTAGTAAACAAGAACAAGGTGCTTCTCCTTCTACAGAAGATATTATTAAAAATACTCTTAATAAATCTTCATCAGGAAAATCGATAATTGAACATTTCCAACAATCAAAAGCACATACTCAACCTCCACTAAATGATGATAGTTCACAAACAACTAATGTGAAAGAAATTAACAAGCTATCAAAAGAAATAACAGAACAAGTTGTCACTAAGGCTGTTTCCCTGGTTGAAGAAAACATGGGGATGAAGAGTCAAGTTCGAGTTTTAACTCTTAATGATAAAGAACATCAAGATTCAGTTTTGTATAGATTAGAAAAAAATTGGACCTTACAGTTTCGATTAGGACCCTCTTTACTTGGGAGAAAAATATTGTTATATTGTAATTATCCTGAAGAAGGAGCTGAATTTAAAAGAAATAGTTACCAACTGCTTCCATGGTCTGAAGATGAAGGATGTGAACACTCTGATGATACAGCTTTGCAGATTCAAATTCAAGTGAAGAAGGCTGGAAGTTATCATTATTATTTTACATATGAAGATATGTAAATATAAATTTACAAGCTAAAGAATTATTTACAAATTATATGTTTTCTTTTTCTATTTGCAGAGAAAGTTCAACACCTCAAGGATCTGGGTTTTTCATTGTGGACCCCATTTTAACATATGGAGACAATGAAATACTTCCTTTGGATTGTATACAGTGTCAGACAGTTTTAGCAAAAAGTTTAGGACCTTTTTCGACGTGGGAGAATAAACTTAAAGTTGCAAAAGAATCTGGATATAACATAATTCATTTTACTCCAATTCAGGTAGTACTTACACATTTGTCTTTTTACCCTAGAAATGTAACGTCTTAGTTAGAATTATGTATGATATTGATAAATGTATTATTAAAATTCATTTGAAAACATTTTAACTTTTATTAAATCATTGTAGGCTCTTGGAGATTCGAATTCTAGTTACAGTTTAAAAGCCCAACTTCAATTGAACCCTATTTTTGACAATAACAAGAAAACTACTTTTAAGGACATAGAAACCTTTACCTCTAAACTTCGAAAAGAATGGAAGGTAAATATCTTTGTTACCAATATCTGCAGAAAATTTATAAAATAGCAAATTTTTATTTCACTTGAGAATAAACTTTGATTTCTTTAGGAGATATATTATTTTATAAAGATGTATTGTCATTGTTAAAATTGTTTTTATTTGTTCATTAAGTACATATTTTTATTTTTCAGATGTTGTCTATTTGCGATATTGTTTTAAATCATACGGCGAACGAAACTAAATGGCTTGAGGAACATCCAGAAACAACATACAACTGTTCCAACTGCCCTTATTTGAGACCTGCATATCTTTTAGATGCTGCCCTGCACCAGTTTACTTTGGATGTTCAAAAGGGCTTATATGAAAATAGGGGAATTCCAACTGAAATTTATAGTGAAGATCACTTAAATGTAATTAAATTATTATTTTTTAATGAGATTAACGATTCGTTATTTCTGTTAGGCCGTTCGTCATGCTTTATATACCAACGTTTTACCTCAAATAAATCTTCAAGATTTGTACATTTGTAATGTAAACAAACTGGTGGCAGAATTTTTGGATTATGCGCGCAACAAAGTTCCTCCCATTAGTGAAACTAGAAATCCTGTTGAAGAACTTAAACTAGTACAGGATCCACTTTACAGGAGACTGGAGTCCACAGTAAGCATGGATACAGCTTTAAGAATATACAATGTATTTAGGTAACAAATCTGATTTAATATTCCTAAATGATAATTGAAGTAGACATAAAGAATACTTTTGGATCTTTTTTTAGACAAGACTGTTTTGATGAAGATTGTAGATTGAAAAAATGCGGAGAAGAACTTAAAAACAAATTAGATCAGTTAAATGCAGCTGTTATAGGCGAATTGAATGATCATATCAGCGCAGCTATAGAAAACACGATAGCTGGAATGAGGTACTTTAGAGTGCAGTCTGATGGACCCAAAATTAGAGATGTTTCAGAAAAAAATCCACTGGCTTTTAGGTAACAGTATTAAAAACTTTTTTTATAAATAATGTATTGTTTTGTGAAAAATAAATTGTAGGTATTTTACTGATTTTGGGAAGCCAGCTTCCATTAAAGAACACGAAGAAATAATGTACGGGACGAACTCCAAATATCTGATGGCCCACAACGGTTGGGTTATGGATTCAGATCCTCTACGAAATTTTGCAGCCCCGGATAGTAATGTTTACATTCGGAGAGAGTTAATTGCATGGGGAGATAGTGTTAAATTAAGGTTTCAATTGCTCCTTGAAGGATACTTATTAAAGTTACAAATGTAATTGGAATTTTTTTTTCAGATATGGAGAGAAACCTGAAGATTGTCCTTTCCTCTGGAATCATATGAAAGAATATGTAGAGTTGACGGCAAAAATATTCGATGGAGTTCGACTTGATAATTGTCACTCTACTCCTATTCCGGTAAATTTATTGTAAACACGTATTTTCTTCTTATTGTTTTCATTGTTTAATCCAGATTGCTGAATACCTTTTGGACTGTGCTCGCAAAGTTAGACCAAACTTATATGTCGTGGCAGAACTATTCACAAATTCTGATCAAAAAGACAATATTTTTGTTAACAGATTGGGAATTTCATCTTTGATAAGAGGTAATGTATTTATTATTTTTGGTATTTATTAGTAATATTTTCTAATTACAGAAGCGATGTCCGCTTGGGATTCTCACGAAGAGGGTCGTCTGGTGTACAGATATGGGGGTTATCCTGTTGGGGCTTTCATACAGCCCCATATCAGACCCCTTGTGCCTGCTATAGCCCACGCATTGTTTCTTGACTTAACCCATGATAATCCTAGTCCTGTTGAGAAAAGATCTGTATTTGATTTATTGCCTAGTACTGCTCTAGTCAACATGGCTTGTTGTGCCAGTGGATCTAATAGAGGATATGACGAATTAGTCCCTCATCATGTAAGTTATTAATTTAATTTAATATTATATATAAAAGAAATTATGAGG